CTTCCTTCCTTCCTTCCTTCCTTCCTTCCTTCCTTCCTTCCTTCCTTTTCAGTCTTTTGGGGACAGGTTCTCTCTGTAGCCTCAGCTAGCCTGGAACTTACTATGTAGACCAGGCTGGCCTTGATCTCACATATATCCCCCTTGCTGTGCCTCCTGAGTGCTGGGATGATAGACGTGTGCCACCATACCTGGCCTTTTCTTTCTTTTTTATCTTTTTTAAGACAGGATTTCCCTGTAGCCCCATCTGGCCTGGAACTCGCTATGTAGACTAGGCTGGCCTGCCTGCCTCTGCCTCCTGAGACCTGGGATGAAAGGTGTGCGCCACTGTGCTCAGCCTTCTCTTTCTCTTGTACCATGTTCTCTCACACCCCTCTGCCTGCTTGTGCATGTGCCCTTATTGTAGCCTGAATGGCCCTTCTCTCTTTGGCTGGACACTCCTATCTTCCCTGCACTTGAGTGTCATGCTCTCTAAAGTCATCTTAGATCCCCACACAGAACCAGTTTTCTTCAGCTCCTTTGCTCCTGGGATCCTGTTTTGTATGGCTTTGTAGTTTTAACCACTGTGGTTTTATTTGCTTGCCTGTCTCTGTAACAGACCCAAACCTCTCACGGGCAAGACACATAGCTTGGCATGCTCAGGCCTGGCATGAGGATGCTGTGGAACCCTAAAGGTACTTGGCAGTTGTTCACAGGAGGCACATGATGGAAGTGTGGCAGGAGAGTGAGGGCTATGGCTTCAACAGCAGCGTCTGCTGTCTGACACTCCTGCAGCCCTTCTTGATTTTGCAGCCACCAGGGGCTGGTCCTTCCTGGTAACTTCCAGGCTGACCTTGAGTTCCTCTGGCTTCCCTGGAAAAATATGTTAAAGTGGTAACTGTGTAGACCTCAGATGAGCCCTAGCAACAGTTCATGCATGATTAGTGGGACACATTGCCCAAGCCTAGGCCACATGCAGAGAGACTTGTGACTCAGGGCTGAGGAAGCTTAGGAGTCTTTCTTCCAGGGTCCAGATGGACTGTTCTGGGGAGATGCTGTTACCCCAAGGAAGAAGTAATACTTTCTGAACCCCAAAGCTCCCTTCTCAGCCAACCTTCCACTGAGATTCAGAGAACAGACCTAGGACTAAGGGAGGGACTCCCACGGGGTGATCCTTTAGGACAGCCTGGGTCACTTGAGGTGAGGATGCCAGTCTTAGGGCAGGCGAGGCTGATGGGCTGCATATCTGTGGTAGAGAGCACAGGTGGGTGCTGTGGGAAATCCAAGTCAGAAACCAGGGTTCCTGGTCTGGGTCTGCTACTTTGTGATTAGGCATGCAACCTAGGGTGAAAGTATCGTTTATCAAAGCCTCAGGTTTCTTGACTACACTTTTATATGGCCTGCTTTTTGGAAGAGGAAATTGAGGCTTAGGCCACAGAGTTAGCCAATGCTGGGATTTGAACCCGAGCTCTGTATAGCTGTGAACATGTGTTCCCAGCTCCTGACTTGCATGGCTTTCTAAGCCCTGCCTGGCCTAGTTCTAAGGATCACCGTGAAGATCCAAAAGCTGGTCACACGGTTGAGGGATTTAGCCTGCTTCGGTATGTCATCAAAGCTATAACTAGGGACTCAGGCTGTGGGCTTCTCCCTGGCACAGCTCCCCTCCCCATCTCTTGCCAGGCAGACCCTGGGGGGAAGGTGCAGGCCAGTGCCCCCTCTGTCTGCTTCTGCTGCTGCTAAACTTTACACTGGGCTCTGTCATTAGCCCAACAACAAGCTCCCTGTTTGACTAGCCCTGTCTAAATTTGCTCGGCACGAACAGGAGCCCATGGTAAGTAAACGGTTTTCTGTTGATATTTGAGCACTAATGAAGAGGCAGTGAGCGAGGCCCATTAATAACTGAGGAGACGATTGTGTTTGCAGAAGGCCCATGTACAGCGTGTCAGCCTGCCCCGGCCCGGCCCTCCTCCTTATTGATTTCCCAATAAGCTATGCGGGGCGCTTGTTCTCCTGCAGAGCCTCCTCCATGCATTCCCAGGGTGAGGTCTGCTTTCCTCTTGGAAGTCCTGGATCTCAGGTGAGGGCAGGGGTTTAGTTCGTTCGTCCGTTCATTCATTCATTCATTCATTCACTCACTCACTCACTCACTCATTCATTCATTCATTCATTCATGGACAGAGCATTTAGCATGTATTGAACACAGCTTATTATCAATAGTGAAGTCCCCATCCTTACAAATAAATAGAGTTTTCCCTTCACCTTCCAGGGGATGGGGATCCTTGGTACCTATTGAAAGCTGATTTTCTGTTCGTTCATTCATTCATTCACTCACTCACTCACTCACTCACTCACTCATTCATTCATTCATTCATGGACAGAGCATTTAGCATGTATTGAACACAGCTTATTATCAATAGTGAAGTCCCCATCCTTACAAATAAATAGAGTTTTCCCTTCACCTTCCAGGGGATGGGGATCCTTGGTACCTATTGAAAGCTGATTTTCTGTTTTGGCATCTTTTTTTCAGTATTGGGGAATGAGTGTTTTGCCTTGTGTGTATTTGTGTACCACATAAGTACAATGCCTGTGGAGGCCAGCAGAGGGAGTTGGAAACTGAGCCCGAAACTGGAGTTATGGATGATTGTTAGCCACCATGTGGGTGCTGGGAAGCAAACCTAGGTCCTCTGCAGGAGTAGCCAGTTCTTTTAACTGCTGAGCCATTTCTCTAGCCCTCCTCTTTTTACTTAAAAAAAAAATTGAGACAATGTCTCACTGTGTTTTCCAGACTGGCCTTGAACTCTTCTAGCTTAGGCTAACCTAGAGCATGCCTCTTGCCTCACCCTCCTAAGCATCTAGGAGAACAGACCTGTGTTACGGGGCCCAGCCTGGACTTTTGACTGCATGCCAGGTGATTCTCTGTCATCCTATGCTGCCCATCAGGATCCTCTGTCATCATCTGGAGAGGAACTGTGATGGGAGATGGCCCTCTGACTGGTGCTAATGGTGACGTAGTTTTTTCCTGTGTCATCCTTAGCCCCTTTGCTTTTAAGTTGGGAGAAGGGCTGCAGGGAAGAGCAAGAGACCTGCTTGCTGTTCTCATTAGGACTATGCTAGATCTCTGTAGAAAGATGCCACATCAGGTCTGAAGTCAGGGCTTGGTGGGGGTGTGGTAGGTACTAGACTCCCAACTTGAGGCTGACTTGGAGGTAATTTCTAGCCTGCCTTGCAGAAGACTGATGATAACTAAGGTGCTAACTTGTCTGATGCGGTTGTAGTTTGGTGTAGCAATAATTATAGTACATGGACAGGCATGGATCCAGGGCTGTGGGAGCAAAAAGGAGGGAGGCAGAAGGCCAGGAGGACTTCCTAAGGGTGGTGGCACTTGAGAAAGCTCTTAAGACTGGTTATTAGGGGGCTGGAGAGATGGCTCAGCAGTTAAGAGCACTGACTGCTCTTGCAGAGGACCCGGGTTCATTTTCTAGCACCCATATGCTAGCTAGCAACGGTGCCTAATTCCAGTTTCAGGGGATCTGACTCTCTCTTGGCCTCCATGAGCATTGTACATATGTGGTACATTTAAATACATGTAGACAAAACACATACACATAAAAATTTTTAGAAATTAGATTTTTTAAAGTAAAAAGAAGCAATGGGCTGGGTGTGGTGGTGCATGCCTTTAATCCCAGCACTTGGGAGGCAGAAGCAGGCAGATCTTTGTGAGTTTGAGGCCAGCCTGGTCTACATAGTGAGTTCCAGGACAGCTGGGGCTACAAGGTGACCCTGTCTCAAAAAGACAAAAAAAAAAAAAAAAAAGGCAATGGTAGAGCACTTGCCTGGTGGAGTGAGGCTCTTGGTTCAGTGCTGAAAAAGGAAGACACACTCTTTTGGCCTCCACAGGCACTACACGACATGGGTGCACTTACATATGTGTAGACCAAACACCCATACACATAAATAAAACAATAAATTACTCCAAAATTTAAACAAAAAAGACTGGTTATTAGTTCACAGAATCACATTGACTGTTCCACTGACAGAGAAAGCAAGAACAGTCTGCTGTTGACTGTAGTCTTGTGCAGAGACCCAAGGCTTGTCTCCTGGACTGGCCATAGTGGGTCTTTTGAGGTAGGACTGGGGCCTAGGGTTTGGGACTGGGGTCAGAGGCACCTTGAACAACAACTTTTTTTTTTTAAGGTGGTGTGCAACCATGCTTTTATGTGTGTAGGCACATATGTATGTGTATACACATATGTGAATATGTATGTGGAGGTCCAAGGTTGGGGTTCTTATTTTTATCACTCTCCGCCTTCTTCATTGAGGCAGACTCTCTCAGTTGAACCCAGAGCTCACCAATAAATAGAACTAGTCCAGCTAGCCAGCTTGCTCTTGGGACTCTTTTTTGTCTCTACCTCCTGAGTGCAGGAATTATAGGTGAACTACCACACTTAACATAGCATGTAAATATGCTTTGGGCATCCAAACTCAGTACTCATTCTTGCACAGCAAATGCTTTATCAACTAAGCCATCACTCCAGCTCCAGCATCTTCTTCTTTGATGGAGTGTTGGTGTCCACAGCTCTTCTCTTGAGCATTCTGGGGAAAGGATAAAGGAAGGTGAGGGATGGGAGTCAGCAGGCTCTGACTTTTACCCTAACTCTGCCATTAACTGGAAGAATGACTTTTCTTCATGGAGTCTCATGTCTGAGGATACAGAATGGAGCCTTAAGCCCTTCCGGGAGAACTACCTGGGGGAGAGAACACAGAGTGATAAAGAAAAGCAGCGCAGGTCTGAGGGCCTGTAGGTGCACCAAAAAACAACCAAGCATCTGTATCGGACTTTTGTCCCTTCTAGAGACACATCCATTTCATGACAGTGGATATTGTCACATCAGCATCTTGTGATATTCCTGGGGTCAAGGGCCAGGAGTTAGATAATGGAGAGCAAACTAGGTTTTAGGAACTTGGTGCTTGATCATGATGGGGACCAAGGAAGTAAGAGAGAAAGATCAAGTTAGATTCCTGAGCCACTTCCTTCTACAGAAGCCAGCCTTGGGTGACATCCTTTGTCTCAGGACTAGAGGCCCCTGGCTAGGATGCTGACTTGAGGACCCTCCCTGTAGCAGAGCTTCCCTAGCTCTTGGGGATCAGAGGACAGTCCACAGCCTCCTTAGCCGCCTGGAGGAGTGTGTGGGTGGGTCTAGCTACTGGGTCTGCTCACTCAGCCTTTTGTTCTAGTCCCCAAATCTCTCTTTTTCACCTGTCCAATTATAAGTTCCAGGAAGCCCCAAATCCCGGAGCTGAGATTCTCAGGTCCATGAGTACCTCACTGCCCCATTTTAATGGGAGTGGGGTCCTGGCGGTGTCACCTCCTTTGCTACCATCATCATTTGTTGCAGGGTCCTGTGTCCTGTAAAGAACCAGCCTCAGTTTCTCCATTGATTTTGGTCCCTCAGCCCCAGGTTAGCACAAACGTCTGAAATGGAAGGTGGCTCAGTTGTGCATCCTGACCCCTTTCCTGAAATGGCCACATGACCCTTTCCCAGTGACCTGGTGGTCTATATCAGCAGTAGAGGAGAATCTTGTGTAGAAAGAAGTGACATTCAATGATACCATGAGTGGTATCTATTCCAGGCCAGCTGCTCCCAGCCCTGGTTGTACTTCAGCATTGCATGGAGGTTGCAGAGGATACCAGGATCCCACTGCAGACTGAGTTAAAGTCTCCAGGTGGATCTCAGGCATCTTTGTTCTAAATCGAAGCCACCTTGAATGCCATCAGGGGAGAAATGGATGAATCCCATGACCAAAGTGCCTGATCCAGGTCCAGGAGGATGAGGCCAATGAGTCTGAGGGAGGAAGAAGAGAGGCTCAAAGTCCGAGAGTGATGAGAACCCTAGCTATGAGCTGAGGGTGACTTAGTATGGAGAAGAGCTGACAGTTGGTGCCCTCCTCCAGCTTGTGTGTTTGATGTCTGATGAACTTTATTTCTGATGATGCATTGGCCTTCCCCATTTCCAGATTTAAGAGCACAGTTTGGGGGACCACTTGGGGGATGCCCTTTAGAATTTAGGATCTCAAATGTAGGGATCTGCAATATGGATTCTAAACTTGTGTCGAGATTCTCTTTTCATTGAGACTGTCCACAGGGGGGACTTGAGTAAGGGGTAGAGGTGGGGTCAGAAGGAACTGTGGACATCAGGAAGCCACAGAGATGTGAAGACAACCACATTGAGACTGAATTGAAATTTGGGGAAGAAAGAATTAGATGATGCAGGTAAAGAGCCAGACATTTGAGGCACTGGTCTGCAAAATTATCAAATGGAAAATTTAAAAACTAGCTTTAGGCTGGGGGAGTAGCTCAGTGGTAGAGCACTTGTCTAGAATGTATGAGATCCTGAGTTCAACATCCAACTCTGCCTCTTCTCCAAAAGTAGCCATAATGGACATTAATTCCTTACGATGTTCTTTTTTTATTTTTATTTTTTATTTTGGGGGGAGTTGGTCACAGTGGAAACAGGAACTCATGGCCCTTTTCAGCATCTGAGGCTGGACCCCTTGGTGGCTTGGCTGCTGATGTGAGACCAGTTATTGGGAAACATGCCAACTTGGGAATCACTGGTGCCACCATCAGTTAGTTAGAATCACCAGTACTCTGGAAACAGAAGAAGCATGCCGAGAAGAAAAGATCTGAGTCCAGAGAGTATCTGCACAAAACTGGCTGGGGCTGGGGTTGGGGACAGGCTGTGTGAAGGGAGAGGCTGCTGGTTTTGACATACAAACAGCTGACTCATACCTCCCTTCAAGGGAGCTGTTTGCAGACCCAGAGCCATACAGATGGACGTGTCTATGTGGCGCTGGCTCCCTGCCCAGGAAAGCACATGAGGCAGTGTGGGAGGAATGGTTTTATCCTTCATTATGCATGTTACCTTGTCCCGTTATACAACATTTGTAAGTATTGCTGGTGTTCTTCTCTCTGAGTGGGCTGATGAGATGGGAGGTTGGGCTTGCACAGAGAGGTCTGGGCACCCTTTGTGTCTCTCCTGCCTGGGCTTTTCTGTCTGCAAGGAGCCTGCAGAAGTTCTCTTTTTCAGCTTGGGGTACAGTTTATCCCTGTGTGGAAAAATTTTCAGTTTGCAGTACAAAGGTTAATTAAGAGCTTACCTGTGGCTGCAGATTTCTATGGTCCTCACCAATCCAACAAGGGCCAGGAAGCAGAGAATGGGTGAGGGAGAGCAAACTCTGCAGGAAGGAAGGTGGCATGGGTGAGTGGTGTAGGTACCCAGAGGAAAGAACTAGCAGATAAGGCTGAAGGAGGCCTGACACCAGCCGTTGGGGCTTTGGATACCAAGCTGACCTTGAACTTTATTGGACAGACAGGGGGAGGAGGCATTGGAATTTAAAGAATCCTGAAACTTGTCTAGAGGAGGAGGCAAGGGAGGAACAAGGAGAGTAAGGTGAAATGAAAAACTCCGGGTATCAAGCGTTGCTCTAGGAGAGATGAAGACAGTGTTCTCAGAAGCTGGTGGGGAGAGATGACGACTTTGGTGTCAGTCTTCTGAGGTCCGAGCTGTTGTAGGAGAACCAGAAAGGATCCAGCCTCAAAGAGGGAGGCTAGAAGTGACTTGGGAGGTGAGAGAGTCTGGGGATGTAGATGTGAGAGCCATTGTTGCACAAGAAGAGAGGGAGAGAGATGGAGGAGGAGAAGGGTAGGGAGAGGAAAAGGGAATGGAAGGGTTGCAAGAACATAGTTGAATATATTGATGAGAAAGCACACATGTGCACCTCAGGGGAAAAAAGAGGCATTGAGGGGGTAAGTAGGAAGTGGCCTGAGGGGCAGGAAAGGAGAAAATGGCATCTCAGTACATCAAGATCAAGGTCTGGGGAATGTGTTGCACAAAGTAAGGCTTCAGTAGTGAGTTGAACTTAACAGGACATCCCAAGTGAGAACTGCCACTCAAAGTCAGAGTCTGAGGGTTGAGAGTGGCTTTCAGGAATGGTCACTGGGGGACCTCCCTCCCTCCCTTCTGCAGTGGGACATTATCATGTGGCCTCTAATGCTATCCTATAAACCTGACTCCCCTGATTTCCACTGACTGAGGCCTAAGCTCCTTATCACAGCCAGTGAGGACCCCACTGTGTTAACCCTTGCCTATCTTTTCAGTAGGGCTTGGATTTCTCACCCTCCTTCTGCCCTCTAGCACTCTAGGCCTGCCAGGCTTCTCCGTTGTGCTCTGAACATCTTGCTATGCTTTTGCAGATGCTGAGCCCATATAGTACCTTTTGCTCCCCTGGCAAGACCATGTTGTATTCCAGACTGGGACATTCTCACAAGCTTGGCTGTCATAGACATATCTCTGTCCTTAGATCTTGGACAACTGCATACTGTAGGATGAGTAAGTGAACATATGAACTTGGGGTTCATCAGAACCTGCTCCTTAGGCTAGTCTGCCTGCTCTATCATCAGTTCCCACTCTCTTTAAGAAGCTCCTAGTCTTTTCAAGTACTCTGTTCCCTCTTGGTGTGACTGGCATAGGTCAGAAAAAACTCAGGCTCAGGGACTTGCTTCATGCCATACAGTAAAGTGGCATCAGAGCCAGGGCCACAGAGCCAAACTCCTGGTCCCTACACTGACACCTACTATGTACCATGAACACCATGCAGTCTCTGCCTTCACAGACCTTCTTTTCCAGTGGGACAGATAAAGGAGAAAGCACAGAGGATCTGAGCAGCTTCGAGCACAAATAAATTTCCATTTCAACATGTGGTTGCCCAAGAGCCCATGTTACTCTTTAACTCAGTCTTGAGCCTCTCTTTGGACTGCTTGTTGATCATGGAGGCATGCTTACTCCAAATGCCCTCTTCTAGACACTAAGGACAGAGCCAGCTGCAGCATGACTTAGTATTGTGATGACTTGCTGTGACTTTTCATAGCCTAGATTCCTGTTCTTTCACCCAAGGTCCCTGCCAGACCACAGTGGGCCCCAAAAGGCTGCTAGCCTTCAGCACTTATGGATCTAACTCACATGCTGAGCCATTATCACCAATAGTACAAGAGCTGTCCAGGGTTCTCTGGGTCTGGAGAGACTAATACATAGTGCATATGGCTCGGCGTTTGTCCAAATCAGTCCTCTTCCATGAAAACAGCTCTTTTTCCAGTGACCACTTTTTCAGGTCTCTCGAACTCCTCCTTTCTCAAGACAGTTTGGTTTTATAGGCCTGTGTTTAGTAGGTGCTTAGTCTAGCAGCAGGTTGCCCTGATTTTGAGTTCTAGGGTGCAGAGGTTGGTCATTTACTTCTTTCTTCCCCAGAGGCTTTGAGCTTGTAAAATAAGTTGGGGTTGGGCTGGAGAGATGGCTCAGTGGTTAAGAGCACTGGTTGCTCTTGCAGATGACCTAGGTTTGATTCCCAGCACCCACATGGCAGCTAACAACCGTTCATAACTCCAGTTCTAGGTGATCTGATGCCCTCTTCTGGCCTCCCTGGGCATTGCATGACATGGGTGCACTTACATACATGTAGGCAATACACTCAGACACATAAAATAAAAAAAAAATAAAAAATAAGTTGGTGTTCTGCCCAGCAGTCAACAGGTGAGGCCAATTTTGCTAAACTGCCTTAAAAAATACGAAGTGCAGCAAATAAGGAAATGAGCAGAACCCAAAGCACACATTTTGGTATATTTTGATCCCTTCAACAATGAGTTCCTCCAGTCTCATCTTTGCGTAAGTAATAGGGTTCCTCCAGGGACCCCAAACAAGACGAAGAAGGATGACCTTACAGGAACAGAGCCTTCTTTAAAGCAAGCAAACTTTGCAAAGAGCAGCAAGCAATGGGCTCTTCCCAAGGGTGGTGTGTGGCTTTGGGGGAGAGCCAGGGAGAAGGGCTTCAGACAGCCGAAGCCTTAGAAAGACCCTCTTTCCCCAACATTTTATTATTAAATGATCTAAGCATACAGAAAAGTGGAAATAAAATTTCAGTGTCCATTCAACCCACCACCTAGATCTTACTGTTCCCACTGAAGTCTTGTTTCATTACCAGTCCATCTATTTACCCCTTTATCGTGCATCAATTAGTTTTCCTGATGAACAGCTTTACTGTTCATTTTATTCATATCATAAAGTTCACCCACTGTAAGAGTACAGTTGAATGACTTTTAGTGACTTTATCCCATTGTGAAGTCCAGTTTTAGGGTCCTATTCCTATTACCATTGCAAAATTCCTTCAGGCCCATATGCTGTTCATTGTGCTCAGCCAGGGCAACCACTGACCTGCCCCAAGCCCTTTTCTAGATATCTCATGTAAATGGAATCCTATGTGCCACAGCCTTGTGTGTCTGGTTTCTTGTCTCAGTGTAATGTTGTTGGAGGTCACTCTGGCTACAAGTCCAGCTGTTTGCTGCTGCTCTCTGTGGATTGCATTCCACTGCATAGGTTTACTATGGTATGTTGGGATAGTTGTCAGTCAGTGGATATTTAGATCATTTCTAGTTTGGGCTCTTGTAAATCATATGTCCCTGAACCCTCCCAAACAAATGTTTGTGTGGACTAAGGGAGACCAAAATTGGCCACCCCCAAATCGATTTTGCTAGTATATTTCTAGAAGGCTCTTTAGAGGCACTGTAGGTATAAGAATGGCTTTGCAAAGTGGTCCTTTTGTAAAATGACATTTCATCTGGTAAAAAGAAGATTGGGTAGGGCTTTTCTTCTGGTATCTGCAGAGGGAAGATCTTTTTGCAGACAGGATAGCCTGTGGTCTGACAACTGGGCTAGACAGAGATGACCAGGTTATGGCTACCTGGCAGACTTTACATAGTAAGCTGATTTAGTGAGTTTTTCTCCCAGTAAACTCTGTCTCTCTCCTTCCAGAAGCCCCACATTTCTTTCTGTACAGCATGTAAGTTTCGACTATCCAGTCCTCCTTTGAGTCTTACTTTCTGTATGTTACAAAATGTTATACACTTTCTGTCTGTTGGTAAATTTGTGAGCTTTCCCCCTCTGTTAATCTATTGTCAGTTTTTCTCCCCACACACTGAGTTTATTGAACCTTCAGAAGGAAAGGAAAAAAGTTTAAAACTTCCTTGAAGGGCTTAACTCTTCTTTGAGGGGTTGTAAGGTCCGAGAAAGAGCTGACCAGGTTGTTAAACCCAGAGGGAACATTCCTAGGTGAAGGCATGCTTACATGTAGAGGTTCAGAAAATTAAAGGGGACGGCAGCAGTTCAGGACCCTGGAGGAGTGGGACCAAAAGTTAGGTAGGGGCAGGACCATAAAACCTGAGAACTATCCTGGGGAGGCAGGTTTTGGATTTATCTGGAAGGCTCTAAGGACCTTGCAGGAGTTGTATATTCATCAATATGACTGGAAATACTTTGTAGAAACGTTATTGGCTGGTTAGAAAATGGTTCTAGATGTTAGGTGAGTGATACAGGCCTCTACACCTGCTCATGAGTTGTGGGTGTTGGGTGGTAGGTGGGCAGATCAGATAGGTGACTGTATGCATTTGTGTTCTGTTGAAGAGAGGAGGACCCAGAGTGTCAAGGAGCTCTGAGTGATTCATCCTTGCCCACAGTCCTATGAGCACCCGATTTTCAGTGAGAAGGCAGCCCCTGGCTCTCTTCTCATTGCAGACCTGTGTGTGGCTCTCAAGGTTAGCACCATGGGGGTCAGTGCTGTTTAAATGTTGATTACAGAGACGGTGGGAGCTGCTCAGATTTCTAATTAAGATTAAAGAATGTACTGGCTTATAAATGGTTCTCAGGAATGTATAATTTGATTAGCCTGTTTTCTCCAGGCGTTTTAATTTCTGGATTAGTGAACATGGCCTCTCCCTACAGGTAGGACTGCTTGCTCACTACACACAGAGTTTAGGGTCTTACAGGGTATTGGGGAGATGCCCAGGAGACTGCAGGGCAGAAGAAGAGAGTGAGCCCTGGGGAAAATGGACAGTCTAGACCGCTACTTTTCCCTCTTTCCCTTCTCCCTCTCCCCACTTGTGAAAGAGAGTGAAGTATCCAACTCAAGATAAAAAAGGAAGCGAGGCATTGACTAGAAAGTAAATGTGCTCACCTGGATCTCATTTGCATCCATCTGTTCCTATTTAAAGACACTGAGGGCTGGGGGATCCTCCCTCTCCTTTGTCCAGTCCTCTTTCTTCCTCTTTCTGATTTTGAGCCCAGCCTTAGAGACTGTTGCTGTGGCTGGCTGACTCGGTGTCAGTCATAACCACCATGACAACTGTAGGCCCACTGAGCCACTGCCTCTGTCTACCTACCCTGGGCATTGCCAGTGAGGGTCAGGTGGACTGCAGGTTCTGGCTGTCACGGGAAGTCACATCCTTCTACAGGAAGCTTCCTCGTCTCCAGGGCAAGTCTCTCATTTACCATCCTCCTTCTCTGGCTGCATTATGACTTATTTATTGACTTAGTGTATGCATGCCCATGCATGTACATACATGCACATGTGCCAGGGCCTTGTCGCCAGAGTTCTCTCGGGGTCTCTTGTGCGATCAGACAAACCATATAATATATTTTTATGTGAATTTATTGTGGTTTATGCCCTTGGGTAGGGAGGGGGTAAATGGGGAAACTTACATAGAAATGCACACTGGGCACCCACCTCTGCACACAGTTCCAGATCGCTTCTGTGCCTGCCCACAGTCTCCATTAACTTTTGTCCATGCATCTTGGGCCCGCAGTCTTGCCCCAGGTTGGTAAATGCCCCCTCTCTCATCCATGCGGGTGAGACGATGACCCGCCACCACGCATTCACATTCCTGGCTAGAGGCTTCTGTCCCAGTCAATTCTCTGCAGCAGGCCCCACCCCTTGGAGGAAGCAGGCAGTTTGGGACACAGACATGCATGTAGAGGTCAGATGACAACTCGAGGGAGTTAGTTCTCTCCTTCACCATGTGGGAACTGGGAGTCCAACTCAGGCTGTCAGGCTTGTTAGCAGGTAGGTACCTTTGCCTGCGAGCCTTTTTGCCAGCCTCACATCATGATTTTTGTGACACTTTAGGTGATTTTACTTTCATGGGTGTCTTTCTCCATTAAAAAAAAAAAAAGGAAAAAAAAACCCACCCTTTTTTGGTATACAGATGGTGGATTCATATATAGTAAGACATTCTGTTCTCTTTTAAAGGTCATTTATTTTCTTTTTCTTTTTAAAAGAAATTAAAACATCTTCAGAGACTCAGGCCCTGAGCCTTCCATGACTAGTGGATAAGGCCATCCTGTCATGTGCACCAGAGCTCTTGACAGGCATCATACCTATCTGCCTGTTGACCTGATAACAGGTGGTATCTTCTGGGTCTGGGCACACTGCCTTCTGTTCTCCCTACAGTGATCCTCAGAGGAAAACTGTGTGAGAGCTATCCTCAGGCCAGCGCTGCCCTCAGGCTCTCCCCACAGAAGAGAAGGATGGATTACTGCAGGCAGGCTTCAGCCCCTGAGGTAGGCTTCAGCCTCTGTGGTAGATCATGGCCCCTGTGGTATAGCACAGCCCCCATTGTAGACCTTAGCCCCTGAGGTACTCTTTAGCTCCTATGATAGGCCTCAGCCTCTGTGGTAGGTCTCAGTCTCCTTAGCCTCTCTCCAACCCAACCCAGAAACTGAGGCACTCCTATGGTGAGGGCCAAGTGCTTCCCAATGACCAGACCAGGCCTTTAAGATGGCTCTGTCTTCCTGGGCCATACTAGCTTTCTGCTTGAACAAATCTTCTCAACTCTTGCATTTATGTGTGGCTGACCTCTGGGGGAGGGTATCTTTGTATAGTGCTCAGCGCCTGGATCTCAAAGAGTGGCTAAAGGAGACCCTTGATCTGAATTGCCTGGTGTGCGTGCGTGCGTGTGTGTGTGTGTGTGTGTGTGTGTGTGTGAAGGGGACATTTAAAGAAGATTCCAAGGACTGTCTGGGTGATTCCTCATGCACATGAAAGTCTGAGAAGCCTGGTGTCAGGGAATCTCTCGAATTTGGCTTCCTTTCCTCTTTTTCTTCCTCACAGACCTCTGGCTGCTTGCTTCTCCTTTTTACCACTGCTTGAGGCTCAACAAATGTTGTTATTGGACGTCATTATAGGATTACAGGGCTGAAAGGGGCAGGTGAGGTTCAACTCTGTTGTAGATGTTACCATTTCTCCCAAGGGTGGGGATTATCCTCTCCCTGCCCCACTTGAGGGCTTGTTTTCTTATGTTTCCAAGGAAGGTGTCTGGATACTCAAACCTAGCCACCAAAAAATGCTTGTTGGTGGATAAACTCAACTGTGGGAAAGTAGTGGTAAATAGCAGCATGCACAACAATCGTATGCTCATAATGAAATACAATTGTAGCACTTTAGGAGGTGGACTTGAAGGTATTGCAGAGGGTAGGGACACAGCATGCCTGCCCTGCACTCCTCTAGCCAGTGTTTCCTTGGGCACACTCCTCCTGGCTTTGAGCCTTGGTCCTTGGTTAGTTCTTTTATTAAAAAAATGTTTTGGGTTGGAGGAGAGGGAGTGGGCATGGGTTTGCTCAAAACACCTTATATGCTTGTATGAAATTTTCAAATTATTTATTTAAAAAAATAAAAAATGTTTTGGAATTATTTTTATTTTTTTATTTGGATTTATTTATTTTATTTTACGTGTATGAGTGTTTTGCCTGCATATATATAAGTATACCATGTGTATGCAGTGCCCTCAGAGGCCAGAAGAGGGCATTGAATTTCCTTGAACTGGAGTCACAGATGGCTGTTAGCCACCATGTGGGTGCTGGAAACTGAACCTGGGTCCTCTGTAAGAGCAGCCAGCGCTCTTAACTGCTGAACCGTCTCTCCAGCCCCCCTTTTTGGTTAGTTACCCAGATCATGTCGATATGTACAACTGGTTCATCCTAAGGGCCTCTGCATGTAGCTCATTATTATCTGTCATTGGACAGAGTTCCAAGAATTGCTGCTGTGTGTCCAAGAGAGCAGCTAGGTATAGGGCCCAGTACCAGAGGTGGAGCTAGAGATCTTTGGCTCTGCTCCAGCTGACTGGGTGGTGGGAGGACCCTTGCTTGTGCCATCTGGGCTGTGCTATCATTATTCCTGATAAAGGCAGGAGAAGGGAATATAATCTGTATTGTTCAGTCTTGGCTTTGCAACTTCCAGGGAAATCTCTGGGGGCCAGGCCAGGATTCACCAGACACCCATAACCATTTGGTTCCTCCTGGTCCTCCAGCCTTGGTCCCTGGGCTCTACAGAAGATCTGGATTGTGCAACAGAGTGTTTGGTCAATGGGGACTGTGGTTGGTGGGGGGCAGCCAGGGAAAACCATGGAAGATTCAGTAAACACCCTTCTTAGGGCCATGCCCTAGGGTACCAGGAGGCCACTTCAGTCACTACAGAACTACTACTCTGGGCTCCTCCTCACCTGCCGCAGGCTGGAAGCTGCTGCAGTAAGTGTCTTGCAACTGGCTCCTCAGCTTCCCCTCCTAGTCAGAGGGCCTGGGAAAGGGGTTGCAAACCAAGACGAGTGGGCAACGCCCTTTGGTTGTGTCCCCAGCCCCAACCATTGCAGTGCCAGCTGGCAACCTGGACAGTCCTTGTTTCCCCCGCTCTGTTCAGGAAGCGTGTTGGGACTGGGCTAATGATAATTAACACTTGGGGCGCGTTTTGTCTTCCAAGTGCTTTACAAACACGACCTAATTAGCCCGCGGGGAGGAGCAGAGCCACGGAAACCCTCTTTATTATTCATTTCTATACCATCTGAGCTTGCAGCCTTGAAGTGCATGTTGGAGGGTATGGCCGCTGGTAGCGGCGCCTTGCTCTCAGAGGCCAGTCTTTGAGAGGGGGGCCCTGTGAAGCTGTCACTAAGCCCGTGCACCCCTGGCGCATCCTTAATCTTCTTTGGAAATCTATATAGGCGCCTAGGTTCTAAGCTGGGCCCACAGAAGTTAAGCATGTCCAAGACCACACAGCCTATATGATGGCACAGGGACTCTAACCTAGGTCCCCGGAAAGTTCTTTAGCTGGGTACATATGCTGCACCTCTCTGGTCCTGTGCTGTGAAGGTGGATGAGCCCCGACGAGAGCTGGAGGCGGCGAAGGCGGGCGGAGGCGGCAGTGAGCACTCCCCCACGGGCCGAAACTGTTGCCAGCACAAAGTTCCGGGTTACACCTGAGCGGGGGGACAGATGTGCATCAATATTTATTCGGAACTCCCAGGAAACCTGGATGAAGTGTAATTATCTCAGCTCAATCAGCTCGGATTAGCATAACATCAAGTCACCCGTCAGACGGAGGGTTTGATTTCGGGGATCAAAGCGCCGCTCTGTAGCCGCTGATTAATCGGGGAGAAGGGAGCTTCCAGAAGAAAGAGACGCCGGCTCCACGAGCCACAGCTGCGCCTCTTTGATGCGCCGATCGTGCCAAGTTAACTTTCGGCCTCTCAGCACCGCGATCGCTACGGGTCAGTAGGAACCAGCTCCGCTTCTCACGCCGCAAGTCTCCAGCCCCGGTGCTGGGAAGGCGGCGCTTGGTCATCCCTGGTCCGGTGCAGAGGAGGCGGAGCTCGCGGTAGTCTCCCCTTCGCCCCTGCTGTCCGGGGTGCGCATCCTGCGCTTGTGAACGTGTTTGGGAGGCTGGTCCAGGGACTGAGAGGAGCAGCGGACTGCGGGGGGTGAGGGATGGGGGTGGCTGGTTTCCCTCCCAGAGCGCAGAAACGACTGCTTCCTAACTCCTCTTGCTTTCTGCTTGATGTACCGTGTGAAATCTGTTTTCCCAACTGGGGTGTACTTCTGCTCCCCACCTTTTCTGAGACAGGGTCTTACTATGCAGACTTGACTGGCCTGGAACTCACTATGTACACAAGGCTGGCTGCTATCGCTCCCGAGTGCTGGGGCTAAAGGTCCCACCTGGTTACTTCTGTCTCTGTTAAAGAGTGTATCAGTTAATACATCACTAACACCCAGACCAAGCTCTTGCCCTGGTGAAGCCTACTGTTTTTTTCTCTTTCTTTGCTTTTCATTTCTTCTTTTCCTTTTTGGCTTTTCCCTCCTCTATTCCCTATTCTTTTTCTTTTCTATTCTTCCTCTTTTCTCCCCCCTCCCTCTCTTCTTCCTTCTTCCCCTCCTTCTATCTTTCTTTCTCTGCCAACCACCCTGTGGATGACACAACATGGTGATGATTTCAGTAGCCCCCTGCCCTTTCCCAGTGAATTCTATACTTCAGATTGAGAGGGGCCTAGC